CAACCAATGAAATGATGAGGAAACAATACTATCAGAATATTAGAATGTGTGAAAACAAATTACTGATGTTTATAAATGCTTGCGCTGGATCGCTAACAACAACATAAAAGCTTGCGGTAACAACTTACAAAACTATTCTTAAGAGCATTTCAAATAATAACGATTGAAAAAATGACAGTCCTAATAACACTGAGATACATATTTGGGCATCAGTTGATCAAACAGATAAAAGCAAGACACTGTCCACTATGAAGTATATGATGATCATTATAGCACAAAAATCGAATAAGCTTCTGCTATCATTAACCACCTCATCACACTGTAAATCTATCTAAAGAGCACAGGGGGAAAACAAGCATAGTCACAAACTGGAAATTGTGAGGATGTCAATTTTAAAGAGCTTGTGGACTCATAACTTCATATATTTGTTTGACTGGTGGCTTATTTCTGTGTTTATTCAATGGAAAATCTAAAAACAAAAATCAACCAACAGTTGAACAGAAATACAGTTAAAATCAACAAGCATTCAAAATTGATACCCCTCGCGATTTTCAGTTTGTGATTATGCCAGTTTTTCCCCTGTGCTCTTCCTATCATAATACATTAGAAAGAGAAAATGGGTAATCAAAGGAATGATAAGAGGGACAAAAGATGAACAGAAGAAATGCAGGAGAAATGAGGCAACTGGATATAAACTGGAAATACTCTCATTCCTTTTCCCCTACACCTGCTCTGTGTTTTCCCCAATGAGTATATCATATATCGTAACTGCCTTCTGAAATGAGTCTCTAGAGTCAGTGGTCAGCTGGGATATCAAATGTAGACCTGCATGGGCACTGTTTATTTGTTTGTTTTGTTTCAGTAAGTGTTTTACAGAACTTGCAAAACAATAAAGTCGTATCTGTGCCGAACATTAGAGGTGTTAAAAGAAAGTAACAGACGCAAAAGAAGAAGGAGGGGAGATTAGGAAGAGAGATGTTTGATAGTAGGAAAGAAGGAGCAAACCACACCAGACCACCTGCAAACCACACACTTGGGCACTGTCACATAGACAGATTGTAATAACATTAGTGAGACATAACCTAGTTCTTCCAAGAGGCGGACTGCACCAACACAGCTTGTCATGGCAGAGTGGGATATGGTATCCAAGTGGGACACAGTATTCTAACAGAAAGACAAAGATGCACAAAAATTTTTTTTTTCCTTTTGCGAAATATTTAAAATAGTCCCCATGCAGGAATCCATCTTACGTCTTTCGTGAGCATAACCATCACACCGTATACACTGGTACATAACGGTAGCAACACAGAAAACCCATCTAAAAAAATGTCGGGATTTCTTTTCTTCACACCACCTGAGCTGCCGCTGAAAATTTGCATACTACATAATTAGACATCAAATATTCTCTCTCTGTATCGTCAATTTACTTCCTTACTGACCAAGTCTCCTTTGAAAGTTAATCCTAAAATTAAAATAACATTTCGAGTTCAACAAGGGAAGCTGTCAGGAAGAACTAATGATGAGTCAGTTTGCAACTTTGTAGCAATAAGTTCATAAGAACAAAAGCTCCTTAGTTTTAAACTCCGTCATTACTGATGACATATGATTATTTATCCAATAGTCAGTATTCTAAGTATTTTGAAAAAACAAACAAAAGTGTAACTACCAATTTGTTTGTTTGTTTGAGTAAAGAGAAGCACATTGACACAAAAATGGTCATTCAGAGCTGAGAAAGGGTAAGACAGACAGACTGACAGAAAATAACAAAGGGAGAGTACAGATAAGTAGGACCTACCAGTGGCATCCTCTACCCCCCCCCCCCCCCCCCATGAACACCGTGTAAAAAGTAACATTCTCAAAAAAGTAACATATAAATATATATCACTTGGGTAAGCCTACAAGCCATGAACACTTTCCTCAACTGTCTACATAGAATCCATTTAAATTTCAACAACAAACTGATATTGTGTAAACAACACCAATGCCACAGACTAGCAGTCATTATTATCATTAATCATCTTCACCAACTTTGGCTTGAAAAAAGCTTTTAAAAGGAAAAAAAATGAGCAAAATTACATATATATATATAATATAAGCTGTAAGAGGTAATGCCATGTACATCAATAAATCAGTTTGTCATGAAAGAAATGATACATCAACAAAACTTCAGGACTGGGGGGGGAAAAAAGTCCAAAGGTCCATTTACAATAAGACCTGAGCCCAGAGGGTGTGGAGAGCCAGGAAAATTACTCAAAGACGTCAATTCATCCGGAATACCCAGTAAGAGACTGGAACCAGGGTCACCCGTACCTCAGCCCAGCATGGTACCAACAAAACTAATCCTGTGCCAATGATCCAACGGAGAAAGCCTGAAAATTTGTTCAGGTAGAAAGATGCACATGGACACAATAAAAGTTTGAAGTTATTTAGTTCTAGGAAAGAAAAAGCAGACCTTCAGGAACAACATAGGAACAGTTAAAAAAGAATGATCTACCGCAAGTGGAGTCCTCTGACCATTCACAAAACCCTAGCACAGTCATCCATTATGATTCAAACTTGTAGATGAAAATGAAACAATATATGTCTGAATCATACTATAACAATTATTATCCCATGATATGTAGAGAATTATGGCCAAACTTGCGAAAGCTGTGTGGACAATCTGGTAATACACGATTGTAGGACATTCTGCTGTGATGACGGCAGCATTCTTTAAAAAAAATTCTCTGGGTGTATGGTGATTAGAAAAGATAAAATCAACATAATGTGAGAGTACTACACGAGACAAAAGCTCACATTAAGAGAATGAGGCAAATTATGCCCCACAAGGATTATGCTGATGGCTGTAGTAAAACTACAAACACCACATATTAGCAGTTATCCTTAACAACAACAGAAAATGAAAAAACATCTGTCAAAGTGCTGAACTGTATCTCACTAAAAAAAGGGACAAAATAAGTAAAATCAAAGTCATATACAGCAAGAAGAAACAGAAACATCGGAGATATAGCAAAGTATCTGTATGAAGTACTTGCAGAGTTCCAGTTTAACTAACAGCAACAACACAGTTCAACTCTAGTTACTAGATTTTGTCCCTGTGACTGAGAACCAAAGTTCCAGTAACAATAACGCACACAGAAAGTTGAAAGAGAGGAGCACATGAGACTACAAATCAATCATCGGAACAATCTCTGTGGCTTATGCATGCACTCAGCGACAAACAAGTCATTGCACTTTAGCTACGAGACCTTTATCTTCAGAGTGAGCTGAGATTCTCGTCATGCTACTGTTTCAATGCTCAAAAGTGTTAGAAGACAGCTCTTTTGGCAACAGAAATTATCAGCACATTGTTAAGAAGTGTAAGGAAAATCGCCGATTTATATCAGCGCATGGAACAGGAAGAATTAAGTCTGTTTGCAATGGTGAACCAAACATTCGGAGTCACTAATTTTTCTTACGGCAAAGATTCAACATTAACAATTATGGAAAAGAACTCTAACAAAATGTACTGTAATCAAACAAGGAAATATTAACAAGAAAACTGAAACAATTGCTTAGAATAACCAAAATAACAACAATCAGGATCACATCCACAATAAATTTCAAGATTTAGGTAACACTTAATTTCTCAAAGTGCTTTTACAAATCAAGAAAAAAAAAATTTCCTGTAGTGCATAAGAAAAACAATTGAGAGCTCACTGAAGCACCATCAAGCAGCGAGACAAAATTCCCTTTTGGCTTTATAGAAAACAACAGTGAGCTGACCATAACATTCCCATCCCAGTTCTTGTTGCCAGCTCACCTTTTGTTCATCTTTCAACATAGACATCATGTCCTACTAATTGATGACAAAAATTAGGAGTCCACGGAAGAAACGGGAACAGTCACAAACTGAAAATTGTGAGGGTATCAATTTGGAACGCTTGCTGATTCTAACAATATTTCTGTTCAACTGTTAGTTGATTATTGTTGTTTCACATTCAACAAACAGAACAATAAACCACCAGTCAAACAAATATGAAGTTATGAGTCCACAAGCTTTTAAAATTGACACAGTAACAATTTTCAGTTTGTGACTACATCTGTTCTTCCAGTGGACCCCTCAAATGTTTTACACCACATTTGACATACATTAGATCTTTTAGATGCTGTTTTGACAAAACAGGTCAGGGCCAACCTCAGACGTGTGGGATGCATCCATCAATGTAGAAGAAAAGCTGACTTGATAAAATACCTTCCCCACCCGGGTATAAAACTCACTGCCTTGCACATATTGCTACCATAGAATTACAAAGTTCTATCAGATGATAATTTTGCCGTTTTGAGTTACTAAGAGCATGAGGTCAGAAATGGAATATTATATCTGCTCTATCAAAATCGTAAGATTATTCGGAGTTAATATACCTAGATATTCAAAGAACTGCCCTCGAAAAAGCTTGACTCGTTGTGAAACTCAAAACTGATAGTCAAATTACTCAAAACTAGATCTAGGTACTGAACAGATAAAATTTTTAAATCTAGGGTAGTGATTAGACAAAAAGCCCAACTATGACATCAAATACGATAGTTGGGTGAAATGAGAAGTGAGTATGTTATCCAGCAGCAGGTCAAGCCAAAATGCTGACATAACAGTGGAGAGATATGTCATCAGCCAGGAAACCCTACTACAGCGTGCCTTTCAGAGTGTGCCTGCCTTTTGCCATGACAAAAGAAATCTGTATTATGTTTCAATAAGCTTACATAAAGCTAAATTCTATCATATTGATGGAGACGCCATCAGTCAAAAAAAGGGACAATTCTATCCAGCAAAAATACAAAAATACTTCTCATAAGACCATAGTTCTAATCTACACATGTGCAATACCCATCCTCCAAAGATAAAATCTGTTCACGTGTGCATGTCGTAAAGGTAATAAAAGATAGGAATGCAAGTTCTGGTTGTTGCAAAAACAAGAGACAAAATAGTCAGAATATGAAAAATGTATAAATAAAGCATTATCTGAACTGGGTTCAGCACAGTGACAACTTTAATTTCTTGAGAAGCCTGTCAGGTATGAGGATGTACAAGTACAATGCAAGAATACACAGTTTGACCTTCATACGGTCAACTGACAGACTGACCATCTACTTAGTCTCTGGAAGACGTCATCAATCAGTACTATGTAACTTCACTTTTCTGTATATGTAATAAAACCTAATAGGAAAACTATTCCAAAAAACCTGAATGACATAATTGATCTTTCCATACATACAAAGTATATCAAAGTCAGTACACTTTTATAAAAAAGAAAACTAGCCTCCCAACATGTATGTATTTGGGTTGTGATTCTTCTAAATAGTATTTTTTTTTAAAACAACAAAATTTTTAAAAAATCAGCTGTCCTAAGTACGGCCCTCTAACACTGTACTCTCTAAGGCCTGACCATTGTCATTTTTAAACAGTTGTAGAAAAACATGCTACCTTCTTGTGTCCCTGCTGCCAGGCTGTCTTCTCATTACGAAGAAAACAAATAAATAAATCCATCAAAAGTGAAGAAAACACCATATTATGACAAAACCAACAGTATAAACACAGAAGCTGTGATTCAAATAAAACAAAGAAATAACAAAAATCCTTAAAATATTCAAAAACATAAACTGACCCCAAAAAATAGAACATTCTATCACATGGCCTTAAAAACCCCCAAAAAACTGCAAAAACTTAAATGAAAAAAAATACACACACACAAAAAAAACCCACAAAAAAAACTCAGACACACTCAGTTTCAAGCAGGGATCATGTGTAATGCTGATTTGTATTATGTCGCATCTGCTGCTTGACCCGAAAAACTTCTAAAAAACACATCCCTGTCATCACTTTCATTCAGTCGTGAGTCATGAGGAGGGGGCCCCCAACAAGATGTTGCCCATCCATTATTGAGGATTCAAATGAGAAAAAAAACCCCAAAACTAATGCTTGACAAAACTTTTTTAAATGTACGAAAAAGCATTAGAAGGTCGAAGAGCTAGTCCTTTGAAGCAATACAATTAATAAAATACACAGTGTGATATTGACTTAAGCTGGAAGTGACAAGCATAGCATATCTTGCTGAAGCCAGCGCAAACACTAATTACTTTGCATAATTGATATAAAGGATATGGGAAAAAAATTCTTTACACAAAACATGAGTGTCGTTCATTTTATATTACAAGATACACCAACAAACTTGCTTGTTCGACAAACAATGGACTCAATTACTTCTTCCAAATGTATGGCTATTCTGGAAAACCCTTCACACTGTCACTGTTTTGTGCTAACCTGATTAAAAATAACAAAACACCTAAAGAAAAAAACGACAGCAGTGGTCTCAAACTCGAACTACCTAGGAAGAGGCCGCTGGAAGTAGAGTTACGATAAGCCTGGGCCACATCAAATATTCCTCAAAAAAAAAAAAGAAAAGAGAAAGAGAAGAAAAGAAAAGAAAAAAAGGTTTCAAGTTATTTCTTTAAAGGGCAAATGATCTACTGATCTAATCTCCATAACCTTTATTCACAGAAAAATCCTTGGGGGAAAAAAGTTGAAAGTGAGAAAAATGTGCATGGTGCACTAATACTAAACTTTGATGCCAAGAAGGGGGCGCATCATCTGCTACTCAGAGACCCCTGAACTACAGCATTGTCGATGGCTATACTTTTTCAATTTTGAAGCTATGACAGTTACACTTAGAGTATATCTAGCCTTAGACCACATTGGTTTTACCAAATTTAGCTCTCTGGTAGGAAGGAACTGTACACTGTGACAAGTAAAGGGTTTGCCTGAATGGCCACACAAATATCACAGCTGCGCCAAGTAAGTACCCAAGAAGTTGCTCTTCTGCCACTGTTAGACATCCTTGAATATCATAATTCTATAGTAAAGAGAACCAGTCTCCAGAATTTCATCAAAAGTCAAGTAACCCCCTTGAGGACTACACCTAGAAATTGCGAGACTGCTTAACCTTTCTGGAAACCACACGAAAAGACATGTTGATACCAGGCCCATGAAACAATATAAACATACTGTCAGAATAGGAACGGAAAGACGGGATCATCCAATACTTTTGGAAATCCACAGCAATAAGCAGGAAAAAAAAGCAGGCATCTTTACTTCCAGTCATTCAACACGCAGTGTCAATCAATGTCGCAGCTGAGAGTGACTGTGACAGGAACAAGCCAGTCTATCCTACACTTCTCAGCAGCTCCACTCAGTCGACAGATGGAAAAAGTACTGTTATTAGACATCCAAAAAACAATCATTGGCCCAAAGAATTAATAGAAATGTTAAGCATGGCCAGTGTGGAAGTGTTTCTGCCTCATTTTGGGAGAACTTTTGGTAGTCCTCTCGCATGGGTTTGGAAAATATACGACAGAAACAGCAGGCACAGCGCACGCACCAGATGATAACATTCCATCGGCAAGGGCCACAAAACTTTTTCTCTTACAATAGTTCAACTGTCCATCCATTTTCCAATTCTCATTCAATTCAATTCACATCCATCAAAACGGGGGATTAAAAAAAAAGGGAAGGCCTGACATTAGTTAGAAGACGATACTATGGCAGAGTGTGTGTGAGTGTTTAGTTTGTGGAGAGATCCTGAAGGCATTGTGAGAGGCCATCCTCCGATGAGTCGGTGAACCGCTCAATCTGGTACGGCCGCTGTAGGTGGGCAGGGAGTCCGCAGGCTCCATCCCAGTAAGCTTCATGATAACTGTGAGACTGTGGAAGGAAAATAACCCTATGTGAGGTGAGCTGACAAAATGAGTTATTACTAGCAATCCATGAAAGGAGATATTAGCTAAAAATCGACACCAAGGTAAAATTTGTCGATTTTCAATTGACGCCTTTTATTATTTCATACTAATAAATTGTAAATACTTCATCCATGAGCGTGATGTATGTATTTCTATAAGGCTACAATCAAGGAAGTAACTCATTTTGTCAGCATGCTTCACATATTTGATCGAGTCAAAAATACTCACTAAACCCAAAACCGTGTCAACACAATCATGGTCATTTAGTACACAGGAAAAGCAAAACATATACATATGCAAACAACAGAGGGAAAGGCAACACGTGGGACCTACCAGTAGGCCCTCCAACCTCCTGAAACCATAGACGTTTAAGCGAAAAGAGAAGCACAATGGTAATATAATTGGGGATCATCAGTTGATGGTTAATGTTTGTCTCCCCCCCCGCCCACCTTTTCGCCCAATACAAATTTGATCCCCTTGATTTGGCAGCTTCTACCTAACCTGTCAGGACCAACCCTGATCAGGAGAACATTCCATCAGAGGGAAGGAAATACAGTGGAACTTGTTGAAGATAACCACCCATTATCAAGGGGATAAGTAGCCATCTTAGATAGGTGGTCCTCTTGGTGTCACAATAGAAAAAATCCAAGAAGGGGATGGGGGGTTGGAAAGCGGTCTGTTGTACAAGTGGCCTTAAGAGCAAGTTCTACTGTACTATACAAAGCTATAAATGTAAAAATCATAACTGACATTTCAGCCAATTTTGAATTTGAATCATATTTTTGTTTCAGAAACATAAGTCATGAACGATCATGTGATACTTGGCACCACATTTTGCTCTAAAAATGTCATGCTTATCAGCTAATCTTGACGCTTTTTCGGGTTGGGTTTTTTTTTTGGTGTTAGCAGACATATGGAAGGAAAAAAATGACATCATTACCATTTTGACATTTCGTTTCCAGATGACATTACAGCGTCCGAGACAGATGGGGCAGGACCTGGTGAGGCCGAAGCCACCACACTCCCTGCAGTCCGGGCTGAACTGGTTGTCAAACCAGCATTTGCCGCACCTGTTCAGATCACAAAAAATCAAGATCACAAAACACTTGTGTCACGACCCGGTGGGATCAGGCGCTTGTCAATTTTTGGGGCATGTGGAGTTATTGGTATCATCTTAAAGCTTGTTCATTTGTCTATCTATCAATGAAAGAGATACCCACCTATCTTGTATAGAAGTTGAGATATCTGCGATTGAATGAGGTGGGGGTGCCCGGTTTCAGAGGTAAAATTAGAGAGAAAAATGGCTGCCAAAGTTTGGTGACTTCCATAGTTTGAGAGTCCTTGGAAACTGGAGGGAAAATATTGATATCTTCGATTTGATTATTTGGACAGGCACCTGATTTCACCATGATGCCTTACATTTCACTGACCAAAAATATCTTCAATCCAGCTGAGTGAGTACTCTTGGAAGAGGAAACCACATTTAATAATTATTATGCACAAAAGAATTCTACAGACAAGCCTCATTGTGTGTACCACTACATTTTGAACTTGGATGTAGTCGTAGGGTTTAATTTTAAAAATAAATAAAAAGCAAAATACAGTTGGATATTATCGATAGACAATACAATCGGCAGAATTTAAGAAATTTCTGGATCTGTCAACCCCTTTACCACAAAAATTAAAGGCCTTCTCAGTACTCTCTTAAAAACTGAAGTTTGAAGGAACAAACAGAAGATTAAGATCTAATGCAATTATGTAATAAGAATCTTTATAAAAACAAAGCTGAATGCTTTGTCCAGTGAAACAAATTCTTATGAATTCAGTTCGATCTCAGCGAGCTAAATTAAGCAAATCCCAAATAAAAAATCGGTGGGTGCTAAAACTTTGAGGTTTCATCCTAGAAACTTACAGGTGACAAGTGTCAATCTTTCTTTGGTATGGCTCCGCCTTCATCATGAGTTCCACCTCTTCTTTGGGAATATCATGACCTTGTTTATCTGGTTCAAGGTCACAGAAATAGACGGAGGCTCTTGGTCCCTGCAAGACCTCATCTGGGAATCAGGAAAAAAATGGGGTTTTAGAAAGAGTTTACGGCATTTGCAACACAATAAGTTCATATAAGTGCGAAGATTAGAGGGGTTACAAGAGAGTAACAAACACAAAAAAAAAAAAAAGGAGGAGAGATCAGGATGATAGATGATTGATAGGAAAGAAGGAGCAAACCACACTAGAGCACCCGCCAACCACCCACTAAAAAATGGGGGTGAAATGCCATAGCAGTGTTCAAATTAGACAAATCTTAGAAGACTAATGATTTCAAAAAGGTTGGAATTGTCGACTTATGAATAAAAAGGCTTCATTAAATTATTTTCACACATTCGGTCGTACAGTATCAGTCTGAAACAGATGTAGAACAGGGAAAATTATTACAATTATGCTGAAACGACTTTACAAAGAAACACTACTACAAACATGAGGAATATCTTTTCACAAGTCAATTACAATCACCATGAAGTTTATAACATTTTCACAACAGAAGGAAAATACAAAGTGGAATGGTGTCCAGATAAGAGCAACCTCCGTCTAACAGCAACTCTAGTTTATGTAAAGGAATTTTCCTATATTATATATTAAATAATAATCCCTTTTAACAGCAAACATTCACCCTAACAGCAATTTCTTTGCTAAAGACTGCTGAACAGAACATTTCTTTTGACCACTCAAATCAGGGTAAATAACTATTTAAACAGTGAGTTCAGGAGCTCAGTTCACATCCACTTGCCAAGAACAACCTTACTTTAAAGAGTCTCCCAGCTTGGGAGAAACGTTTTGGCCACTGTGCATGGCATAACATTACCACCCTGAGATCAAGCACTGGATCACTTCAAATCTGAAGCTGCTTATGTTGACATTTTCTGGCTTAAACTTCACCACATTCTGCAATTAGGACTCATATACATTTGTGTGCATGTGTGAGTGTGTCTGAAGAGGGAGTGTGGGAGGGAGGTCAACCCCTTTGAAAATTCAGTTAGTAGCAACCTCTGCCAAACAGCAACCAAGGCTTATATATATATGAAAAACCATATAGAGACTGCAAGACTTATGATTCGAAACTGACTCTGGTGAAGCTTGATTTTGCTGTCAGCTGGTATGAGTCATGTATGACACATTATTTCTTCAAATATAATTGATTTTCCACTCCCCGTTAATTTTGCATCCCTCTTGCCCCTAAACTCTGATTTATGTTCTTGCTCAATCCAGTAGAATTCAGGAATGTTTAAAAAAAACATGAACAGCAATCAAAAGAAAAACACACCTGTAGCAGAAGCTCATGGTACTCATGAAAATATTGCCCACAGTACAGCGCTCTTCTCCAGCAATGGTCTGTTCATATCATATATATGCAATTTTTTTTTTTTTTGAGCCATAGCATCACAGCACATAGTCACATAGTAGAAGAACAGGGAGCTGATGCGTGATCATTTCAAGAAACTAAAAGACTTGACTGCAACCAATGCAGCTCAATGTCACAGTGTTCACACTCACCATCTGACTCATTGTTGGCTTGTGCCACATCCATGGCCTCATCATCATTCACTTCTCCATCTGCAAAACCTTCATCTCCACCTCCTTGAGAATCTGGATCCATCCTGGCTTTGAGTATCTCTCTGCAAATCAGGAAAATGAATCAATGCTATCATAAAGCAAGACGAACAAGCCATTCTAAAAAGCCTGGCTTTATTAAATTAAACAAAAAAAACACACTAACAGATAAACTCTCTTCGAGTGGTAGACAGTGATTGGTGATAATACACAGGTGAACAAATACTGGACACAGCACAGAAATAGGACACACTGAATGACACTCAAAAACGCCGCGTCAGACAAGACAAGTGAACAGAGATGCTACAAACAAGAGAAATATCACCACAAATGCTAATTAATTAATCATGCAAAATACCTGATGAAGATCTGACGTTTAAACACTTGCATTTATTACTTTTTTTTTTTTTTTAAGTAGAGGATTTTACGGTACTCGCAACTGCATTTAGGTCATATCAGCGCCAGAAGATTTTAGGTGTTACAAGAGAAAAACAAGCATAAAAAAGGAGGGGCGACAAGGACGATAGAAGATGTTTTAATAGGAAAGAACAAGAAAACTACACCAGAGCACCCGCCAACCACCCACTTTTTTTATTACTTTGAAGGTTGAAAATGACATGGATGGTATCGATGCCTAAACATTTTTAAAACCGTTAAAATTATACATTGGAGTGTCAAGAGATAAATTGTGTAGAGTTAGTGAGAAGTCCAAAACTCTTGGTCTTAACTCTTTTACTGATACTGAGAATAAAACTCAGTCTCACACAGAGGCGGTGGGTGGACCAAGATTTGGGTGGGGCTTAGGTTTCTTCCACTTCTTTACCACCAAAAGCAAGCAATAAGAACAAAACTGATTATTTTTCTACACTCATGGCGAGCCACAGCATTTTGAGAACTATTCAAACGAGAAGAGTCACCTTTGTCTTCTATCTCTTTGTTCTGCGTTAAATTCTTCAGGATGGTGGGGACGAAGCCGTTTCACCTCCAAAATTCTCTAATTAGCTTTTATCTGATGAAAAAGTTGCCTCAAAAGTGGTTTGGTGTAATTTATAACTGTTAAATCAGCACAAACACACAGCACTCCAAACACATACCGTGTATGAGGTGGATTGGGTCGTGTTGTTGCGGAAAATAGAACGTGCCTTACAAAGGCACAATGGGCGCATAGGTAACTGTGTCACTGGGGGAAAGTGTGTCGTAAACTTTCACCCCATTGTCAGGGCTGAGAGAGCGTGAGCCCTCTGTGCAGTGTTATTTTTTTCAAGTCTTCTACCTTTTTACAAGAGGGGTTTCATTAAGGAGGGACCGTGGGAATGGGCTGGTTGATTGCTGAGCCCTAAAGACATTTGATTGGCTCTTAGGTTACTATAGGTTGTGAGCCGTGACAACAGTGATTGGATAAATGAGCAAGCCGCCAAGTTGATCGCTTTGCGTTCATTGCGTGCGATCAGAACAGTTTCAACTGCTTATTTCGTTATTTTCATTTGCCTTGGGGTAGACTTGTGGGGAGGGGAGGGGGGCTCAAACCCGTGAGCCCTTTACTACCCACCGTCACTGGACTCACAGAGACCAGGGCTAGCCAATGAATGCAAGTGTAAAAGAAAACAATCTGGGCACTAAAATAACATAAAAACAAAAATAAAATAGACAGCCCAAAAAGAGCAATGTTATATATATATATTACAAGGATCTTGTAAGCAAATGATTTTTATTCAAGCGAGAGAAATTGAAATTCTACTTTGCGCATGAAACATCACAGTTAGTAAATATGAAGAGGCTGGCTACAACCATGCCAAACTCAACAATACTGCAACTATGCCATTTTCACAATTTTCAAATCTTGAGTCTGAAGATTTCAATTGATCTCATGCTCCTCCTCTTCCTGTCCAAAATTTATAGCTTTCCATCTCTGAGTTCCCTTTCTTGTAGGGCATCAATGTGTAGTGACTGCACCAATTGAAAATCTACGAATGAAAGGTAGGCCCACTGTCAACAGATAACTTCATTATGAAGAGGCCATTAAATTAAAATTAGACAACACAATCCCCAAGTATGGGCACCAGTCTGCCGAGCAAATTCAGGTGCGAAGCTGGAAGACCACAGTGCCATTGTCAGGGCAATAAAAGCACTGATGAGTACTTAGTTTATGTGATCCATTTGAGGCGGCCCTGAAGGCATTTATAGCCACCCAGCATGTGAATGACAATACATCTGTCACACTGTGGTAAATCAGGCGCTTGTCAATTTTTGGGCATTTAGAGTTACTGGTATTATCCGAAAGCTTTCAATGAAAAAAATACCCATTTCTATCTTTGAGTTCAATGGAAGTCAAGATATTTGCGATTGAAGGGGGTGAGGTTGCCTGGTTTCAACGGTGAAATTTGCGAGAAAATGGCAGTCAAAGTTTGGTATCCAATAGCTAGAGTCCTTGAAAACTGAAAAAAATGACATAATTTGGGCTTTTAATTTTAATTAACGTTTTCCAGTAATATTCACATGGATAAAATGTGTTTTTAGATGGACATAGAGGTTGCGTCAAAAAACAAAAATTTGATAAAAATCGCCAAATTGACAGAAAAGTGCCCGTTTTCCCTGTTAGTTTGACAAGCGCCTGATTTCACCACGATGCTTCAATGTGTGTACGTTCAGGCATAGGGCTCAAATTTAAATGCTTTAATGCGAGAGCAATGCTTGGGGTAAGTTCACACATCAGTGTCATCCTGTACTGAAATGTGATCATATTCTCAAAGTGAGTATGAGGATGAATTAATTGTGATGTGAAGGGCACTACAAAGATTGCATGTTTTCCTGTTTGGTTGATCAGCTGTGCATACACCGGGTTAATTTTTATCCTAATTAATTTGAATTGATAAATTAATCAGGCCTAATAGCTTAATTTATTTAGTCCCTTCATTCAGATTCAGAAAGCAGGATGATGTTAGGGACGACTTAGTAGAGTTGTAACAAAAATTCCGTTTAGGCCTACTTATTCTATAAATCATATGAAGTGACTAATCGGACTCCAGTCTGATTGAACAAATATTATATTCGGACTCCGAATCGAGTACAGCATGATGTCACTTCTGAAATCTGACCCTTGTTCCTAGATATTTCCAGCATTTATGAAAAATGTTTCAATTATAACATAATGAAAACAATTGAGACATGAGCTTTAATATCCAGTTACTAGATCTATCTACACTGGCCTTCCCTGCATTATTAGTGTATGAACAGACCAACCAAGTGAAAATGACCTAGCCGGGGGCAAAGTTAAATATGTCGACTAATGAGATTGCGCGTAGCCATCGGTTTGCTGGGGGAAGAGGTGTGGGAAAGAAGCCTCTGCTGTCGATTTTGTGCGATGTGATAAAAAAAAAAAAAATTATTAGAAAAACTATAAAACGCACAACAAAACGAAATTTAACATGTGAAAAGATGGTGGTGGAAGTAATCACGATGCTGTTGACTGGTAATGATGCCAGGGGGCGATTACCGCGTGTAGTAATGCTGGGCGGTACCAGCAAAACCCAGTGTCTGTCCTTTTCCGGCTCTGGGTGTCGAGAACCAGCGGCACCGCTGTACTGGGAGAGACACCGGGAGGTGAGAGACGGTGTATCTCACGTCTCACACAACGATCAGCGCCGCCCGCATCCCCCCCCCCCCCACGCACAAGTCAGAATTGGAAGAGGCGAGCTGTGATGCAAAATCCCTTTGAAGTTTGCTGCCGTGCAGGATTAAACTTAGCATGCAGATTGTAAAAATAATTATCACCGCAAAAAAAGTAATTTCATTTTCGGCGAAGTGGCTCGCGTGGAACCTGATTTGATGCCATATTTAAACTTGAGCAAACTTTGTTTTTGATTGTCAATTTTGAATCTGAAGTCGTGTATCAAGGTCACTCGCTGCGTTGTGCATCTGATGTCACAGCTGCTAGGCCTACACACTGCACACTTCCCGGGGCCCCATAAAAAACTGTTAGTGTCAGCTCCTTCCCAGAGCTGATCCGTTGGTGTTGGCTCCTTCCCAGAGTCAGTACCTGATGCCTGGTGCCGGTACTGACACCTTCTCTGGTATAACGAGGAGTTCCAGAGTACTGGGTACCGGTACCTGCCCATCCCTCATGTAGACCCTAACTTGTCGGTTACCGCGGACACGGGAAGATTGAAGAATACCGGACCACTCGTATACATTATTACGCGAAAATGTGGGGTGGGTGGGGCGGGGGGGTTCACGGGGTGACAAAATTTTCATGAATATGGGTCATTCCACCCTAACGTGTACGTTTTTATATGCTTTTGAAATTAGCCCATAAAATAAGTGGAAATAAAGATTTGTTGTGGAAACTATCTCCAGAAGCCAGATAGATGGTTCAAGAACCTGGTCCTATCTAGAAGCACAACATAGGATTAATTAGATACCAGCCTTTTATCAGTGTAGAATTCTGTGGTTTAGGGTGAACGCAAAATTTGTTGGCCTAGATCTAGGCTATAACGGTGAACGCGCACCGGGTGAGAATAGCCAAAAGACTCGCCTGCACTATTCTCATCCCGGGTGAGAATAGAGGTGGCCTTCTAGAATCTAGATTTCTAGTTCTAGGACTAGATTCTAGGTTCTAGGCTAGCCTCGAAACTAAATCAATTATTTATGTCTGTCTGTCTAGATCTAGACCTAGGCCATAGATCTAGATCTAGAAGAACTAAGATCTACCCTGAGCCAAGAGGGCGCTGAAACTTTCCGAAATCCCCAAAGAGTTCCCCTACCGGGTCTGTATACTTTACTTTGTGACTTTGTTCCCGGTTACCAGGTCTACACTCCCTCCCTTTCCATTCATTCCTTTGCTCGGATGCTCTCAAAAAAGCTACGTTTCCACGTCAACTAGCCCTGCCATATAATCACATAGATTCTAAATCTAATCTAGAATCTAGATCTAGATCTAGATCTAGATTCTAATACAAATTATTAAATTGTAACAAATGACTGAAATTAAACGAAAAAGTCACAAAAAAGTGACACTCCTCAGTGACAGTGAAGAACCAGGGAATGATGGACAGGGAAGGCTAGAATTCGTTTGTAGAACACTAAAAGGTAAGTTAAATGTTCAAACCTTCAACAAAATTAGATTATATATCCAAGTTGTGGAAAAATGCAGTTATCTAAACACGGTGCTCGTGATTGGGCAGTGTAGGAAGGTATTAAACATTGTAAATGCTGGTTGTATTGTAAACATGAAATTCTTGCTCAGAGGAGGAGATAACTGCGTGCGCTTTTCCTGTGTACATCAAAAGTCGAAAGAGTGCACAAGAAGGAACAAAATAATAAATTATCAAGAAGGCAACAGGGCAAAAAAAGTTATTACGGGTGCTGGCGCTTATTAATTCAGGTTTTCCAACACTGCTCAACGTAGTCACCACAACGATTAAATGCTGTGACCAAAATCATTAAAAGTAGTTTTAACCTTTATAATTGTTATTGTGAACTAGGTCAAATGAGTTCAAAGGTCACGTTTCTGAATTCCCGCCGCGTACAGCTGAGCGCTGATTGTTGACTGTTGAGTGCGGTGGTGGAAGGAAAGAGGGAGAGAGAGCGGGGAAGAGAGGGGGAGGAGAGGGACAAGCTGTCGAACCGGTATCCAGACACCAGCAACGCTCGACAGGCTACTTTCTTGGCTGGCTCGCTATCTCTGGCCCATTCGGCTTCGCGGGCGGAGCCGACGCGGAGTTCCTTAAATACGATCGAAATACTGCCCCCGTTGTGTGTGTTGTGAGAGGAATTTATTCATTTCTGATACATTGCTCGACTGATAAATCTTCACTACCAACGCTGTAATGAACTGGGATTTACTAAACGCACAGTGGCAGGTAAGAGTTCAAAACTTTGAACATGTTAACAGAGCTTTTGCATTTGTCCATTGAGTTGGGTTAATGATAATAATGTTGTATAAACACGTATTATATACTGTAGATTTATTTCGTTTGATTTTATTCAGGTCAGGCAATATGACATGTTTACATTGAGCTAGATAGATCTAGATTAGATTCTAGATCGAGATCAAGATTTGTTGTGCAATGCATGTCTACATGTGTATCTGATGTATGGCATTTAGCGGTGCACTCGCCCCGTCCTCATTTTACCGGTCGTTTTTTAAAATTATTTTCTGGAAATGGTTTCTCTAGATCTAGATATCTAGATCTAGAATCTAGATCTACATCTAGATTTCTAGATCTAGATTATATATTGACAATTATTGATATGAGAGAGAGAGAGAGAGAGAGAGAGAGAGAGAGAGAGAGAGCAGACAGACAGACAGACAGACAGACAGACAGACAGACAAACAGACGGGCAGACAGAGACAGACAGACAGACAAGCAGAGAGAGAGAGAGAGA